TTTACTAACTCCAGGTATTTGCACATTTTGTTATAATATTTGACTTTTGTCTTCTCGAGCTGACCTTTGAAATGTTCTGTTGAGCTCTTGTACCTTCTCAATTACTATGGAGTCATCTCCAACTCGTGGTGCCCTGTGTGTGTTAGAGAAGAACCATGCTCACAGGGTTCTCAGTGGATGATTTTTCTTAAGTAGATCCCACTCATGGTGCCCCGTGTGTGTCAGAGTAGAACTGTGCTCCGCAGGGTTCTCAGTGGGTGATTTTTCATAAGTAGATCCCACTCAAAGTGCCCGGTGTGTGTCAGGGTAGAACTGTGCTCCACAGGGTTCTCAGTGGATGATTTTTCATAAGTAGATTCCACTCATGGTGTCCCTGTGTGTATCAGAGTAGAATTGTGCTCCACAGGGTTCTCGGTGGATGATTTTTCATAAGTAGATCTCACTCATGGTGCCCCGTGTGTGTCAGAGTAGAACTGTGCTCACAGGGTTCTCAGTGGATGATGTTTCATAAGTAGATCCCACTCATGGTGCCCTGTGTGTGTCAGAGTAGAACTGTGCCCCACAGGGTACTCAGTGGATGGTTTTTCATAAGTAGATCCCACTCATGGTGCCCCTATGTGTATTAGAGTAGAGCTGTGCCCCACAGGGTTCTCAGTGGATGATTTTTCATAAATAGATCCCACTCATGGTGCCCCGTGTGTGTCAGAGTAGAACTGTGCCCACAGGGTTTTCAGTGGGTTTCCGGAGGCAGATCACTGGATCTTTCTTATGAGGCGCCTCTGCGTGGTCTCAGACCTCTAACTGCTCATCAGCTGTGCATGTTAGCTGTTTGTATCACACATGGATCCCACTGAGGATAGAGAATGAATGGATGAATTTCCCCACCACTAGGGTTGATACGCTAGTAGCATTGTGGTTACGAATTGGGCTGTGAACCGCAAGGTCAGCAGTTTGAATCTACTAGCTGTTTCACGAGAGAAAGATGAGGCTTTCTGCTCCTGTAAAGATTTATAGCCTTGGAAATCCTGTTCAGGCTTGCTATGGGTTGGAACTGACTCCACGCACACCACCACCACCACCACCAGGGTTGATGCATTTGAAATATGGTGTGAATGAAGAATACTGAATAGACCGTGGAATGCCACAAGAACAAATGGGTCTGTATAGCAAGAATGTTCCTTACAAAGGAAAGTGGTCCGACTTCCTCTCATGTACTTTGGACACTTGATCAGGAGGGTTCAGTCCCTGCAGAAGGACATCATGCTTGGTACTGGGTCATCGAAAAAGAGAGAGCCCCTCCATAAGATGGACGGACACAGTGTCTGCGACAGTGAGCTCAGACACAGAAACAATCATGAGGCCGGTGCAGAACTGAGCAGGGTTTTGTTCTGTTAGGCCCAGCGGTTACTATGAATCCAGCCCAACTTCACAACATTCAGTAACAACATTGTTTCCAAGTCCTGCTTTCTTCAGAATTATCTATGACCACAAAAGTGGAATATCATAGGATCAAAATCCTTCCTTTGTAGGAATATTTCCAAGCCCATAGGGCACTTTTGTTTCTCTGTAGCCAGATGACAGAACGTTAATTTAAATCTTGCTGGTTCCATGTGCCAAGCCCCCAGGAGGCTTTCAGAAAGTGCTTGTTGGATGAACAGTTGATAAAAGGGCCTCCCGGTCATTTCTCTGCTGACTTGCAGAAGCTGCATGGGCCCCTCCATGTGTCCACAAGACTTGGGCATTGAGGACAGTGCTCTCTGCCCTGGGAGTATCACAGACAGCAGGCACAAAGCTGGGCCGGCTGCAGGTCAGAGCTTCCCATGGTAAAAGCCAGCTCTTGAAATAACTATATCAGGGGACGGGTGACCTACAAGCAAAATGAGGTCGTGGGTGTTTGAAGGGCAGTCACTAAGTTTGTTGCCTGTCATGCTACATTATTTTATACTTGAGCTTCAAGTGGGGAGTCTAAGTAATAATCATAATATCCAGAAAAGACTGGTGGGCCTCCTGTCCTGTAAACTTATCAGCCGCAGAGCCATCTCAGCCTTCTGTAACATGCGCCTGACCATTTCTGTCTCTCACTTGGGGCTCTTCCTTCCATCTCTATTTCGGCAGAAGGCTGGCTGTGGGCAGTACAATCTACACTGTAGTCAGAGGGTCTGGCTTCACATCCTGGCTCTGCCGACCAGCTACGCAGCATGAGCAAGTCTGTGTCTCTGTTTCTGCTTCTTATAGTGGGGCGGATATGCTGTCTATGCCTTGTGTCATGTTGGTGATGTTGTTAAGTGCCTTCAAGTCACTTCTGACTTACAGTGAACCTGCATAGGGTTTCTGAGAAGCAGCTGGTGGGTTTGAACCAGTGATGTTGCGATTAGAAGCCCAGTGTTCATCCTACAGCATCACACCAAGACTCTATACTTTGTGTTATTGTTGTTAAGTAACTTTGAGTTGGTTTCGACTCACAGTGACCCTGTATAGGGTTTTCAAGTAGTGGCTGGTGGATTTGAACCACCGACCTTGTAGTTCACAGTCCAGTGCTGATTGTACAGCGCCACCCCAGGAGATGACGATTCAGTGGACGAGTCCTGGGAAGGGCTTAGAACTGAACGCTTAGAACCAGCCATCATCACCTGAGGTCTGTGAAGTTGCTGATCTTGTACCAGCCTTTCCCTGAAGGTTGATAGAGTCCTGTGTTTCAGGTGGTGGTTGTTATTAGACAAAGTGCAGATAAATGGAGACAAGACTGAAGTGGTCAAGGATTTCGTTTGACTTGGATACTCAGTCAGCGCTCATGGAAGTAGCAGTCGGGGAATAAAAAGACATAAAGCATTAGGCAGATCTGTCTCACAAGAACTCATCAAAGCATTCAAGGGCAAAGATGTCACTTTGAGGATTAAGGTGCACCTGGCCCAATCCAGGGTATTTTCAATAACTTCATATGCATCTGAAAGTTAGTCAGTGAATAAGGAAGACCAAGGAAGAACTGATGCATTTAAGTTATGGTCTTGGAGGAGAATATCGAAAGTACCATGGACTTCCAGAAGAATACACACATCTGTGTTGGAAAGACAGCTAGAATGCTCCTTAGAAACCAGGATATTGAGACTTCATTATGTTATCAGGAGGGACCAGTCTCTGAAAAAAGACATCACGACATGGCACTTAGTAAAGTGGAGGGAAAAAAAAAAAAAAAAAAATGAAGATGTCCAGTGAGATGGATCGACACAGCGGCTGTTTAACAATGAGTTCAAAGATAACAATTGTCAGGATGGCGCAGGACTATGCAGGACTGGGTGGCTAAATGTCAGAGCAAGCCAACACGACCTTAGCAACAACAACCCTTAATGACAACAATGTTTGGAAGCACTTCACCAGACCATGCCTCCTGGTGGTAGTGTGCCTTGGAGTCGATTCTGACTTATAGTGACCCTGCACAGGGTTTCCGAGGCTGTAAATCTTTACGGGAGTAGAAATCCTCATCTTTCTCCGGCGGAACAGCTGGTAGTTTCGAACTGCTGACCTTGCATTTCACAGCCCAATTCGTAACCACTACACTACCAGAGCTCCTTGACCATACCTCCTAGTCGGTCTTAATCTGAAACTCCACTGAGACCTGCTCACAAGCAATCCTGGGCGTGTTTTTCAGTCATGGCAATACACCGGCCTTCACAGCACAGCACGCTGACAACAACACAACCTAAAACCATTTTCTTTTAGGTTTTGTTGTTGTTGTTAAGTACCATGGAGTCGGTCTGACTCATAGTGAGTCCCTGAAACTGTTCACTTGTCGTACCCACACTAGTGTGTTTCAGGATCATATCAGAGCTGGTGAGTGGGCCCTGCTCAGCTCTAGGTATGAGGTTGGCACCCTGTAGACATGGATTTCCCTTTAGTGTGGAAGGCACCTTCTCTGTTCCTGGGTGTCGTCTAGTCAGCTCTGAGTCACAGCGCCCTCACGCACAACAGAACGAAACACTGCCCAGTCCTGCACCATCCTCACGATTCTTATCTCTGAGACCGTTTTTGTTGCCACTGGGCCAGTCCATGTCACTGGGGGTCACCTTATTTTTTTCTGACCCTCTACTTCACCAAGCATGATGTCCTTCTCCAGGGACTGGTCCTTCCTGACAAGGTGCCCAGCGTTAGTGAGATGAAGTCTGGCCATCCTGGCTTCTAAGGAAATTCTGACTGTACTTCATCCAAGACATGTGTTTGTTCTTCTGGCAGTCCATGGTACTTCCAGTATTCTTCACCAACACCAGAGCTCAAATATTCCTGTGGGGTCTCTTGTCACCAAGAACAGGAAAACTTTACAGTCTCCCTGGGGACATTCACAGTGACCATGTTGTAATGCTTCCGGGTAAGACAGGATGAGAGTGTAATCCACCCCAGCCTCAGTTTCCCCACTCATGAATACTGGGAAGGACATGGGAGCATGGGTAAACGCTCGTGACCCTGCCATCTCTCCCTCAGGTGGGATGGTTCATTAGGGGTCTCAGTGCACACAGCAGTGGGGACCATCTCCTGTGCTCTTGCCCCCAGCTCCCTGAACGTGATACCTGGACAAGTCCTGCAGGGGGTGCTGCAGAGCCCGGAGTCCTCACACAATGTGGGCAAGACAGGGGCAGGAAGCCCTCCACACGGACAGCTTCCCAGCCCCCTCTGAGCTCCTGAGCCCAGCGCGGATCCTGGCTTCGTACAAAGATCTCAGACAAAGTATTTGCATCCACTCCCAGGTCAATAAATCACCTCTGGATGTACAAGTGTAACAAGACCACTGCTTTCCCCCAGCCACGTCCATAAATCTCAAAGCAGAGCCTTCGGGGAGTGTGCTCAGGGATTGGCTGTCATCATAGCCCTTGTTCAGTGGCAAGCGGTCTTTGGCTTGGGGGCTGCATTTGCTGTTGGGGTCTGGGCACAGTTTTAGTCTGTGCCTTGCAAATTCTGTGCTTGGTGTTGGAAAATGTCAAGACAGCAAAGAAAATATGTACTGAATCAGAATCGTGGAAAGAGCTGGTCCAATGGCTCTCCATCAGGGGTGATTTTGTCCTCAGGGCAGAATCTGGCAGTGTCGGTAGATATTTTGGGGTGTCACAACTTGGGGGGCTGGCTATTGGCATGTGTTAAGTAGGACCAGGCATGCTACTCAGCAGCCCCCAATCACAGGACATACCCCACCCTGGAGAAGAACCAGCCCCAATGGCTAAAGTGCCGAGATGGAAGGTTCCAATGCAGCCAGCCAGGATTCACTTCATTATTTTCCTGCCCCCTCCCCCACCCTCTGCCCCTAACCCGTACTTTAAATGATTTTGTCTATGAAATGCAATGTCTGGTGTAAGGAATGATGTATTTTACACTTAAAACCATTAAAATCAGTAAGCACTTTCTAATGCATTTGTTCACAATATTTGTCCATACCTGCCTCCCACATAGGGTCTGTGTGCAGTGGGGGCAGAAGAGATGCATCAACAAGATCCCAGAGAGTTCACATACTGCAATCTGTGGTCACACCCACCATGAGAGGTGGGCAGGCCCAGGGGATCCAGGTCTACCTGGTTGAGGCAGGAGGTCAGCCTCAAAGGAATGGCTGAGCCGCCTCCAGGGTCAATGGAGGTGTGACAGAGAGGACACAGTGCATGCCGGGGCTCTGACACCATCCGTAACAGTGTTAACCACCAATGCAGCACTGTCTCTCTGCTCAGCAGTCAGCTTCTGTGGCACTTGTCCAGAGCATCTTTCAAGACAAAGCAGTCATGGTTGAGCACTTGGGGTCTGACCAGCATCTCCCTCCATCTCCAGCAGTAGGTGGCCTTGTGCCTGCTCCTCCCTGGGAACATCTAGCTCCTGCCACTGTGTTTCTTGGGGTCTCTGATAAGTGTCCCAGCCCTGGGGCTCTGTGCTCTGCTCACCTCTAGATGTGGGCCTGGGACTGCACCTCTCAGGAGGTGGGCAGCCCGGCTCAGTGTGAGATGCTCTAAGGGCTTCAACTGGGAGACGGACAGCTGGCTCGCATCCTCAGGCTCCCTGTGCTGGCATTTCCATCCCACACCAGCCTCTGTAGCCACTGTAATCTGGGTGTTGGGCCTGGCTGTATCCAGCAGTGTCCCCACAGGACACATACTGGTGGTCATTAACCATGTCTCAGTACCTCTGTGAGCCGGCCTCAACACTGGCATTAACAACTTACATAGATGAACTTCCATGAGCCCAGTCTGTGGTATGGACTTTATCACCATTTTACAGCTGAGAAAACAGACAGCCACAACCCAGTGGCACATTCAGGCTGCCTAGCCAAGCAGAAAAGGATTTGAACCTCACTGATGGTCCTGACTCCAAAGTCCATTTTCCTTCTAATGAAGCTCTAAGCTTATCTTGGCCCCCACATCCCCTGGCCCCAGACCTTCAAGCTCCCAGATCTCCAGATCCCCAGCCTCTGGCCTCTGGCCCTTAGCCTCCTAAGCCCCCAGGACCCCAGGGCCCTAGGTCTGATGTTTGCTCCAGCTAACCTTAGTGCAAACACTGGTGTGGCACTACTGCAGGGTAAGCACTGAAACTCAAGGTCAGCAGTTCAAATCCACCAGCCACTTCTCAGAAACTCTATATAGGGTCTCTATGAATTGGAACTGAATCCACAGCATTTGACAAAAAAAAAAAGCAACAAAAAACAACAACAAAAAAAACCAACAACAAATACACACCACCACCACACATGCAAACACATACATGAATTTGAGTATAAACATAAAAACAGGCACACACAACACACATATGTGCACACAACAATACATTTCATGCATGCACCACACACATGTACACACGTGGGTGCAAACATGCAGGCAGACACATACATACATCACACACATACACACCACACAACACATACATCTTCATACATGAAAACAAGCATGGACAGAGACACATGCATACACCACACACACCACATACACACCACACACAGCACAGCCATATGCACACATGGATATGAACATGTGGAAACATGCATACACACACCACATACACACCCACATGCACCACACATGGCACAGCCTTATGCACACACATGGATATGAGCATGTGGACACTAGTATACACACACCACATACACACTCACATATACCACACACAGCACAGCCACATGCACATGTATGAATGTGAACATGTGGACACACACAAGCATACACCACATACACGTTCACATGCACCACACACAGCACAACCATATGCACATGCATGGATATGAACATGTGGACACATGCATACACACACCACATACACACTCATATGCACCACACACAGCACAGCCATATGCACACATATGAATGTGAACATGTGGAAACACACATACACACACCACACACACACTCACATGCACCACACATGGCACAACCATGTTCACACACATGGATATGGACATGTGGACACATGCATACACACTGCATACATGCTCATACACACCACACAGGGCACAGTCATATGTACATACTTGGTTATGAACATGTGGACACACATATACACACACCACATACACCCTCACATGCACAGCACAGCCTTATGCACACACATGGATATGAACATGCAGACACACACATACATACCCCATGGTTTTGTCTCCATAGCCCTCTGTTTTCTTCACAACCTTGAGAGTGCCTTCGGATGTAGAGTTTAATCTGATTCAGGCTCCATATTCACCAGACTTTAAACAGTGGTGTGGCATCCTCTTACCAGGGGTGTGTGTGCCTGGCTTCTCTCCTTTGGTGATATCAGCAGGCCTTGATGCTCAAGCCTAAACTCACTAGTTCACTGGTGGTTACAATGTGGGGAGAACTGTTCCTTCATTTGTTAGCTGGGTTATATGAAGACGAGAATGACATCAGGATAGAAGACGATCATTAACAACTTGTGATATGCTGATGATAAAACCTTGCTTTCTGAAAGTGAAGAGGACTTTAAAATATTTACTGATGAAGATCAGAGACAATAGCCTTCAGTATGGAGTGCATCTCAATATAAAGAAAATGCAAATCCTCACAACTGGATCAATAAGTTACATCATATAAAATGGAGAAAAGATTGAAGTTGTCAAACACAACTTTGCTAAGATCCACAATCACCACTTATGGAAACAGCAGTCAAGAAATCAAATGAATCATTGCATTGAGCAGATGTGCGGCAAAGATCTGTGGAGTATTAAAGAGTAAGGGTGTCATTTTGAGTACTAATGTGCGCTTGACCCAAGCCATGGTATTTTCGATCGCTTCGTATACATGTGAAAGTCGGACCATGAATAAGGAAAACCAGAGAGGAACTGATGCATTGAATTATGGTGTCAGTGAAGAATATTCAAAGTACCATGAGCTGCCAGAAGAACAAACTACTCTGCCTGACAGAAGTACAGTCAGAGTGCTCCTTAAAAGCAGGATTACACACCAACAATAACAGCAAAGATGAAAAACACAGAGGACAATAAATGCTGGCGGGGATGTGGAGAGACTGGGACACTCCTGCATTGCTGGTGGGA